AATAGCAACAAAAAGATCACCAACAACATCACGAAAACAAACACTAACATTGATCCCAAGCAGCATTTTGATCACTGTTGTCAATAGCTTAACCTTTTAGTCTTTTGAACATATAAAAAAGAGAAGAAAAATAACGTTACATAAATGAACAAATTACTTAATCAATAAGTTTTTTTAAAACAACTTTCTTTATTCTTTTTTTGTTTTTGTTTTTAACGATAAAGGTATTGGATCATCAACACCCAATGGATTGCATCAAACGCCATTTAGATTAATCTTTGCACTAATTGAGTTAAAATAATTATAAATAATGGAACCGAGTGAAGTGATATTGGTCTGAAATCAAACCAGTGATTAACAAATTGCGCGACCGAGTAGCGGGAGTGCAATTTGTTAATCACAATTTGAATTCGTATAGGAAATCATATGATTTCGAGTGCAATTTGGAATACATTTGAACGAATGGGTTTTCGAAAAGTTCAAAATAGCACGAGCCCGATAGGACGAAAACCCACGAATTCAAATGTATTCCAAATTGCACTCGAAATCATATGATTTCCTATACGATTTCAAATTGTGATTAACAGTATTAGTACACAATAGTAGGAAAAGAGGTCGTCTGGCTGCTTGACCCGGTCTTTAAGTTGAATGTGGCAGTGCATTGACGAAGTGAATTCATCAAATTTTGGGCTTGAGAACTCATCAATTGGGGACTTTTAGGCATCCGCATGGTTCAAGATACAGATGAAGTAGCTGAAATCAGATCTTTGAAGTTGTTCCTTCTTGGTGTGGCCGATGAAAGCTCTCTCTCTGCTCATCTTCATCTGCTTCGTCATAGTCATCCAAGGACTGTTATGCATTTCGATGACCGGTTACCTTTGCAATGGCGGCACCTTCAAGTTTGGCTTTCTTCAACTTGCCCTGTTTTACGGGCACTATGATTTGAAAATCATCATAACTTTAAGGCTTTCTGGGTCATAAACATTCCCGTCCTTATTTTTCACTTCAGCGTAAAATCTCTCGAGTAAAATGTTAAGTTCAGTCGGCTAGTAATTATGGATTTTGTCGTTTACTCCTTTTTCTATGCACCATTTTCGCCACACAATGAGCCAGAAGGATGTACTTCTGGATGTATTTTAATTTTTTAGAGCTTTTTGTGAGCTCCTCTATTGTATTTTCAGTTGCAAAAGAAAATGTACTTAGACGCCGGCCATTTTTTTGGCACTTGCATCTTCGTGTTGAATATTCTGCTGTTTTCTAAAAACACCTGCTCTGATTTCATTTTTTCTGCACTGATTTCTTTTTTTCTGCACTGTATTTCCTTAAAACAGCACTGCTCTTAGCCAATCAGAATTGAGAAATTTTTTCATGTATGTTATTACGACCGAAATAGCACGAACGAAGTTCAATTACCACTTAATCATATTCATTTTGCAAGAATAATACATTTAATCAAAAAACTGTCTTTAACATGAAAAACCCCTCCATTTTTTTTCTTCTTTGTCATTTGGCCTTTTTTCTGATGTGATTGGTCAAATGATGCTTTTTTCCTGCTATTTAATTGCTGCGATTCGCGATTAGATCGCACTCGCTTAGAAACAATCAGATCTAATCACCAGTGATGGATATAATTATAACGATTATCATACAACTTTATATATAAATTATAACGAATGTAACCAAATAGTAATAAACATAGACGATGGATGATTTCAGATGAAGTTATTTTATACAAGCTCCTTAGAGTTTTCTTCAGCGCTAGCAATACAAATGAAAATGGCTTCATTCTATTTTTAACGTAAGCTGGAAAAACGTATCTTTTCTCTTTACCTGTTTGATGGCCTCTCTCCTCTGAGGTCCTCACGTGGGTGCACGGGTAGAGTAGCGGTGAGAACGCTTGCCTCTCATCAATGCGACCATGCGAGTAAAGTTGTTTGTTGGTTTTCTCCTGTGCTTCGAGGGTTTTTCTCCGGGTTCTCCGGTTTTCCTCCCTCCACAAAAATCAACTTCCACATTCCAATTCGATCATGGAACGAAGGCCATTAAGTACTACCGTCGTAAGAACGAAGACGATTGTTTTAATGAAAATGGCTTTGAATTTAACTTAACTTAGACGTGTTCAAATAACCCGATAAGACCAAAATCCCTAGGAATTGTTGAGAAATGTTCGTATACTGAAATAATATAATAACTACAGACTCTTGTAACCAGACGTTGGGTGGGTAGTGCTTGTCAGTGGATAATTCTTAAAATAGGGCTAGAATGAATGCTATCAGAATAGAAAATGCACTAAGAAGACCATAAGGTCTGGTAGGAGGTGAGCCAAGGTTAGTAGTACGAGGGAATACAGTTGTTGAACCGCTGTCCCAGCAATCCTCGAACGGGTTAACCAATACATCCTCCAAATTCGAAATCGTCACATTGCACTCTTTAGATCCAGAAAGATTTTTCAAACAGAATTTCATTTCCTCGAATTGTCTATGAWATAAAAAATAGAAAAAACCAAAGATAAAATTAACTTTATTAACGTGTCAGTAAACTTTAGCTTAATACTACACTAATTGGTGACACAACGCAAAGAAATGAAAAAACGATCAAAGAAAAGTAAAGCGTTTTTTAAGAATCCCAACTGGCAAGGAGGCAAACCAGTTGGCTATTTTATTTACAAGCATTGACCATGGGAAATGTAATTTCCTTGTTAATACTTCTGTTTCAGTTATTTATTGTTGTTGCTGCTACTAATTTTGTCATGATTGTTGTTGTTGTTGTTGTTGTTGTTGTTGTTGTTCATGATATATACATACCTACGAATAGAGTTAAGGCATTTAACCAGTGAAATAAAATAAAAATGTCATTCAAATAGACACAAAAGAAAATAATGGAATAAGTGTCTACTAATGTGTATAAGCAAGAGAATATGAACTAAGAGAAGGAATCCTACCTATATAACCTTGTAACCATCATGTGCACAGTTTGATGCTATTTTTAGCTTGGAGATATTATGAGCGAAGTACCTGATTGGTTGATTTCTTGAGGGTAGGCGGCTTCTAGTCTTGCAGTAAACAAAGCCTGTGTTTTTGTCGTTTTTCGGGTCCTAAAACGTGGCTTTAAAGGAAGTATGATTATCGCGCGGGCATGTTAACGAGCTAAAAATAACATCAATGATTCTAAAAATAGCATCAAAGTGTGCACATGATGGGGCACGGGGATTACTTCTCTTAGTTCATTTTCTCTTGTTATAAGTCTAATATTTATTTCACTGGTTTAATGACTGCACTCTACTAGAATAATCAGTAAAAAAAACACAAATGATATAAATATTAACTACTTCCCAAAAAATTTCACAAAAAACGATTACTTAAGGAGTTGTTGTTGCTGTTGTTGCTATTGGTTTTGCTGAAGTGCAGTTCAGACTTCATTTATCATTTAGACTGCTGTTATCATGCTGAGTTTGGTTGGTGTTGTTGTGGTTGTTGTTGTTGTTGCCGCTTCTGCTACTGTTGCTGCTGCTTCTGTTTGTTGATGTTTTCGCTGTTACTACTAACCTGTTCAGACGTGGGTCAGTCATGTTGTTTCTCCACATACGTTGAAAGTCGTCAGTGCAATAACTAGCGTTTCGATAGCAGTTTTCGGTTAGGAAAAATTGGCTAACATCAACACCGCCAAATTCACAAATTAGCATTTTAGGTACATGCCATTTCACCTTTTCTTTATCTCCATAGAAGGTGCAGTTCTTCAGTTTGAGATTGAAGTATATGCAATCGATCACTTTATCGTAACTATTAAACAAACAAAATAATAATAATAATAATAATAATTGATGATCATGATGATGATGACGATGATGATGTTGATTACGATATATAATAGTGATGGTGAAAAGTGGGAATCCAGAATCGAATGAATCGCTTCGTTTCTTACCTACATGTACTAGAATAATTTTTCTTCAGCCCACAAACAAATGACTTCATACAAGAAATTAGAATCTCATTAAGATTCTCATCGCTACAAACGTTTCCTTCATGTGTATGAACAACAGTGTACGCTATAAAAGAAAAAAGAAAATACGTAGATTTTGCGCAAAAATAATAATTGTGTGTTTCGGAATACATCAATTATTTCAAACTATAAGCTTGAAATAAATTATATTAATTTAATTAATAAAATCTAACAAAGATAAAAAATTAGATATAATACAAATAAAGTAGAATTGAAAAAAGCATATTTAGTATACAAAGAAGAAGTGAATAGTTTAAGGAGTATCCAACGATAGGAAAATCCAAGATTAAAACCATTACCGATAATGATATTCAATATTTAAAAAAAGACCTATATGATTTGCTTTACCTCCAAATAAGACAAGCGTTAGAACAAACATCATCATATCCATCTTCTAGTTCTTCGGCTAGCTCCAAGGTTTGTAACGATTCTCCCAAAGGTACACCCACCTTTAGCGTAGCTTTAGTTTATACGCGCAACCGCTGTTAGAATGGCTGTTGAACCAGACTGAGAAAGGAAATTAAAGATACGGGTAAAAATAACTCCGCTGTTTCAGCTGATGAATTATTTATTTATTTATTGCTCAAGCAAAAATCTCATTCGTTTTGAGCTTAAAAATATAGAGTGTAGATTTACAAAGGGTCATCAGGAAACAAAATTCTAGTGTTAGTAATATTTCAACAAGATAAATCAATGTTGGTCATTTTTTTAGACAAATTTATAACTTAGTTCCTAAAATAATTGAAAAACCATGTATTACTTGTAAACACAGACGATTGTGGATCATTGATATCTGATGGCTAATTAATATTTACCGTTCTTAGCTACAACATAAACCAACACCATTTGTGTTAACCAAAACTTTGGACCATAACATTTAGATCTTAGACCAACATAGTATGATATGATCTGGCCACAAAATGTAATAAGCCTGAAGCGAGATGACGTTTTACCCCCGACGGCTATACCATAATAGTTTTTTAAATTCTTTCATATTAAAAATTTTGATTCCTTAGAGAATACAGGAACAATAGTCATAATTAAAGAACAAGAGCAGTGTGAAAAGGATTATGGTCTTGAGACGGGGGTAAAACGTCATCTCGCTTCAGGCCTATTGGGAAATCATGGTTAACTATGTATAGACGAACCTAGATAACTTTTAAGCACACCCCCACGAGTATTTTTGAGGGTCGCCGGCTACGGAGGCTAACTTCACGGTTTTGGAGTTAGAAGGCCAAGTGTAAGATTGTAGTTGTAATTGGACTGTGGTTTAGTATGGAATTCCTTGTACCCGCCTATTAAGGAAAGTCTTTCTGATCGGCTTGGCTTCACCTTAACTTGTAGCTAAAACTCTCGCGTCTCGTAAAGTTAACTGGTTTACAAGGCTCAAGTCGAATAAAAAGTGGTACTCTGGCGAGATCCTGGAGGTATTTCAGCCTTTTCTAATAAAAGTATTCAAGTTTCGCATCTTGGACTGAAGTGGCTATTAACAGCATCACGTATGATAATTTGTAATGTTTCAAAGCCGACAATGAGGACTCAGTGGACAAGATTTCAAAGTCCTTGCAATTAGTTCCAGTCCGACGCTACGCCTCGGACTGGAACTAATTGCAAGGACTTTGAAATCTTGTCCAGTCCGATTTGGAGGCTTAAGTTTGAAATGACTTCTCATTTCATTAATTATTCGACTTAGAGTAACTGGAGCAAAATTAATTCAGTCCTAGGACAGTTACTCCAGACTTAATGCATTCCTTTCACAGCACTTTACCAGGTTTCAAAGTAACATCATGTGGCCCAAAAATAGCCCATTGATTGGATGGTTCACTCATGAATTATTAATGAGTATGAGAAGGTACTTTAATTATTGAGATTGTTTGGCATATACATGGTAAAAAAAATATTTTCCGTCTAATCGGGGGAAAGTTTCGATCTTGTTTTTCCTCTAGACTAATTGATCCGCAGATTACAAACGTGAACTATGCCAATATTCAGCCCCTATTAGACATTAGACATCGATCGCACATACATATCATAAAATAATCACATTTTCACTGCAATGTACGGAAAGAAGGTCTGTGGTGTATATTACGGACTGAAGCTAAAACGCGCCACGTGTTGATTTGTCAGGTCGCAGAAAAATGAAAATGCTCTACAAAAACAAACACTTCGAAAACATTAGAAGTTCGCTGAATCTCGAAGGCAGCCTGCTATTAGTTCTTACACTTTAATATTATTGTTTTTAGCTGCTGTGGTCGACGATGACATCATTTTATTGGATGTTTTGATTTCGCTATCAGTTTTTCTCTTATTGTTTTTGATTTTTTWAAATTCATTTCATTTTTACAAAATAGTAATTAAGCAACTCAACAATGATGACCTTATGGATGCTATCAACACATCTATTCCTCCACCCCTTCCGTCCGTCCGTCCGTCCGTCCACGTGCATAATTAGAATCCACGTGCATAATTAGAATCCACGTGCATAATTAGAATCCACATGCATAATTAGAATCCACGTGCGTTATTAGCATACAACGCCATGCTCCTAAAGTATTTTAGTCTGGCCAGTTAGTTCGATTAACGTTTACACTATTAGATCGATCCGTGACCACCTCTCGAGGTGTTCTAGCTTAGATCAGTCTCGGACCGCTCTCGGCTTGCTTTGGACCGTTCACACTTGGCCCGATTGCCCGAAATGGCTAGTCACGAACGGTCGCTATAAGATCTTCTTGGATCTTTCAAACAAGAGCTGACGAAATGTACGTGATGCTGAATATATATAGACTTTATATTTCATGAATATTTAAAAACTGCTAAAGCATAAGTACAAACAATATATATATACTACGTACGTAGAACAAAGTATAAAATGTATGGACGGGGCAGAGGTTCTCCGCCGAGATCGAACCGAAGAAGGAACAGCAAATAGACATTTAAAAATACTACTGTTTCCCCTCCACAGTCCAAGCTATGAAGTATCGAAGTATCTGAATCATACAGCCAAAAACCGATAACAAAAATGTTTTGTAAATCCTGTTGGAAGACATACATATCTTCCTTCTAGTACTTGATCAATTGCTTTTTCTGGAATTATTTCCATCTTACCTTTTGATTTGAAGTACTGATTCCATGAGACAGTCAAAATGGCATCAAAACAAACCAGACCAAAATAATTTAGCTCAATAAAAAGCCTTTTGTGATTGGCTAAAAAAGTTCGGGATCTATAACGAGCGTCTTGAATCGGAGGTCGACGTATGGTGACGACGTGGAACAAAATGAGCCATGTGATAAATCGATATGTGAGCGTTACCCAGAATCGACAAGAAAAGCGAAAACATCGACTTATGGAATTGGTCTGATTACTAGTAAAAGTACACAAACAATAAATCTGAGATTAGTAAATCATGTTTTAGTAGAACCTTCCACAATCTTGTAAAGTCTGAGCCTACTCTATCAGAGGGACACACCTCAGTAATTGCTGTTCTAAGAAAAGAGATTATTCATGGAAGATGATAGCCTGCGTGCAGCCGGCCTCTAACGATAGAAAAGTCCGGCTGCACGCAGGCTAGGAAGATGAAAACCTTAACCTATTGACATCAGTAGCGACTATTGTTAATAGGTATACTTCAAAGCCAAGTATACTTCAAAGCCAAGTAGTGCGTATGGAATTCCATTCCGAGGTCGAGGAAAAAGCTGGGTGCATTATATGTTTTTAAGGGGATATATTTCCAAGATGGCGGCTATTTCGTCCCTCCTACAACAGTCCCAAAATGTACTGCAAAACTTACTCGATCCAGTTTTTTCCTTAATCTCGGAATGGCTAAATGCCTCGTCGCGGCGAATCGTGTCTGCTATTGAGAAGTACTGCCAGAAAAAAATACTCACTTTTGAAGCGAGTTAGTGTCTGCACAAAATGAAGTGATGAAAGGTTTAAGTCTTTATTAATAACATAAGTCATCAGTATGAAAGAATTAGCCTAAAATTTGAAGAAAAAAAAAAGATTTGACGAGCAAGTTCTCTATATTTCAGAATAACAGCACAAAGATGTTTTGTTACATGTTTGCAAAAATGACAGCTTATAAAATAATAGACAATACTAAAAGGACAGAAACGACAGCAATGTTGACCAAAGCTTGTGTTTTGATCCTTGTTGACTTGCTTGTCGGCTTCTCAGAGCAGAATGGGTTGTAATCATCAAACATCAGATCAGTTTTTTCCTTGAAGTCCCCTGTTATTGTACACTTCGATGTCATGACATTCTGTACACACTTTTTCACCGTTGCAAATCCACTGTAATGAGATAAAGTTGATGGCTTCATAAGTAATAGGTTTGAAAGTTGATGTCATACATAATATTTAGTATAATCAAATTTTAATAATTTCAGAGTTTTTATTCTAATTACATTGCAAATAGGAACAAAATTGATTTTCTTTCTTCAAGTATCACAGTATTGTATCAAAGAATTATGGCAGAAACTTTGAAAATGGTGACTTCCTTTTAAGAACAGAGGTGATTTACTCGTGGGAAAATCTGTAATGATGGCAACTGGGAACATTTATGCCTTAAAGACTGTCTTATAGTCTGTCACATGTTGTATAGGACAATATACAGCAGATATTATGGATGCATGCACATGAGACAACAACCGTTGTATCGTCGGCGCGATAGCCTCGCTTGTATATGATTCCTTTAACAAAGAATATCTTATTGCGGGCTTAACTGTAATAACAGCTATTCACAAATATTTTTTTTCCTTTGATTGACGAAATTTTTTAACAACATAATTGAATTGCTGTGAGTAAAATCTATTATAGACKTGAATTTTTTTTAAAAAGGAATTATTCTGGGGAAAACAATTCCAAGTTCCAGACACAGGGATGATGGCTGCCTGAAACCCATCTACAAAGAAGGTCTGTGTGGAAGGACTTATTGAATCCTCTTGGTATTTAGCAATAGGCTTTCAGCTGCATGGTACGTTCTTATCAATACTTTGATAGGGCCATGGCAAGCAAGCTTAGCCCTTAATCTCTGCTCACACAGAGAACTTTATTATGGACAATCAATGGAGCCTTCTCATACGTCATCGTTGATGCCAGGCTAACATGACAATACAAAAAAAAAATACACTTTTCCTCGATGAAATTTGTGGCATTTCTTTTGCATTTCCATTATAGCCTTTCATTCAAGACACTTTCGAGAAGAGTGCATTACGTTCAGTCGTAAATGCTTGGCTCCCGGCTTAGGTAAGTTATGGGCCTACAAACCTGCACAATCCTTTGTCATTCCTGTTTTTATGCCACATCTTCTCAAAACTTTCATAACACGATGCCGTTTGCTTCCTGTACTCGTTTTTACTGATGGTACAAGGGAAGGTCTGGTTTGGCCCAACTGGTTCCTCAAAGTGCATCCCACCTAATTCACACATCTTGTTTTCAGTTGCTTTCTTCTCTAAATCTGCTCGTACAGCAGCTTCGCCAGCTGCATCTAGCGTTTTTACACAGCCTTTGACAACTTTAATGGTGCAGTTAAAAAACTCTTCTAGCTTTGGTCTAAAAAATCAACAAAGTCAAAAAGGATAATTGTGTTCAGTGCATGTACATGATCCAAGATATTTTCTAGAGGGGTGCACCATCCTGGATTTTCGCTTTAGGAGGGGTGCACCAATTGCCTAGAAACTCATATAACAATAATGCAGTAGATATCAGTTCATATAGAGAGGGGAATAAGCTCCCCTGCACCATCCCCTAGATCCGCCCCTGGTGTACCTTAGAGCACTTGAAGAGGTGACATTTCTACCACTAGGGCATCCTTATGCAGATGGTCTACGAGTCAGTAGCCATAAGACCGAATTGAAAGCTAAATTGGCTATATTGACTAGTAGACAGACCATCTTGTTGGTCTAAACGTACCATTCGGTCAAATAACATTTATACAAAGAATTTTGAATTTAGGCTGAAAACGGAAGTTAGTATACGTAACCGCCATTGTTTTGGTTTTCATAACCGGGACTTTAAGCTTCTTGAGACGTATCTATCTCTATAAGCTACTAGCAGCTCAGCCAATGAGTGCGCAGGATTTGTGATATACCATTAGTAGATTTAGACTAACGTTGAATAGTAAATGTTTATGCAGTTTGTCAATTTGTCGTGATAACGTCTCGAGAAGTAACTCAATTTTACCTGCAGCTTAGCTTGGGCTGTTCCTGTAATCCATGTATAAACGCTGTAGTACACACACGTTCGTTTTGGTAATATTCTTTAAATGTACAGTTACCAACGTCATTAGACGCTTTAGAAGAAGCCAGTAAGACTGTAAAAAATAATGGCAACAAAGTTTTTAGATAGTAGACACGACTGTGAACATCTTATTCTGCGTAGAGCAGTTTTTGTGTGACTGTGAAAAGCTCAGTGCCGTTAGCGTGTATGCCGTGACCGTGATGTTTTCTATTATCTTAATCGAAGGGTCTAGAAAGCCCAGGCGCATGTCACAGAAGCACTTGATACTTGATGTCTTTGCTCCGGGCTGCCTAGTATTTAATCTTTAAGGTCTATTTAAGCTTTGTTCCAAATTTAAGGTGTTTCGATACAGTTTCGTGATACTTGCTGTTTGGTATATATTACTATTGAAATATAGTTATTGAGTAAAAACACGCATTTAAAGGAAGAAATTTCACAAAAAACAAATGTAATTCGTGTCGCGTGATCTCAGAATTCTAGTCGTGTTTGGCAACACTCCGTACCCAGAAAGGTCAAGTCGTATTAATTTTTCTCATATTTCAATCAAAATGGCTTTCACAGATACGAACTTTTTGGCTTTTTTATTTCGCATTGCGCTGAATTATGGACTTAAATCCATCAAAAACGTATTTAACTATTACGGTAGCAGTTAGGGATTGACCAAAAATTTTTCCCCACCCTGAAACAGTCCAAGTACTTTATAAGTAAGTTGGCCCACACCAGAGTTAAAGTTCAGGGCTGACTTTCATGGCATGATCTCCGGTTGTTCTCAAATTGTTGTATTTACTAAGAGCAATACACGGGACCTTGAAAAGGGTGTCCTACAAAGGGTGTCCCCTGAAGTTTGTTTTGCAGTAAATATGGGAAAACGATTTCGAACTCTCCAATGAAGATTTCGTAATGCAGGTTAAATGACTCAGCCTATGCCGACTGATGTCCGCAATGCTGTTGATTTGACTGAGACTTACGATACACGAAGCTTACTAATATAAAACTTATGAAACTTGGTTCCTTCGGAAGCTTACTTACAGAAAACAAATTGATGAGCATGTGATAGGAGGTATTGCGACCAACGCCGACTCACCTAAGTTAGCATTCCCCAAAACTGGAAGACGTACATTGACTAAACTCTTAAAATGGGGCTAGCTATTATAGTCTTACTTACCTGCAAAGAAGAACACTAATGCCTGAATATTCATCCTGCTAGCTGATTATTGTTAAATTCTAATATCTTATGATAAGAGTGCTTTCCCACGGATGATCTTTGTAGAGCAAGAGGCAGTGAGTTGCGAAACAAGTGACCAATGTCGATTAGCCCCTCCCCTTTATAAAGTAATTCAGATAGTACGCGTGCTGTGATTGGCCGAGAGCCGTATTTGCATTTCACAGTGCAAACACGGTTGTGACGCGCGTGGACACCGGGGGTGTCACAGGGATTTGTGTTTCCCCGAGTTATGTGTTCACCGGAACACTGGACACTAGTGTTTTGTGTTCCCCCTCCCCTCCCTATGAAACATCTTTGAGACCAAGAAAAGAACTCACCTGATTCATTTAATTCCATGTAATTCGGTAAAGAGAATTTTATCTCTCAAAATACCAACAGCAGTAGAGGATCACGCGGTTGTACGATGTACGATAAAGATGTACGATAAAGATGTACGATAGAGATGTACGATAAAGATGTACGATAGAGATGTACGATAAAGATGTACGATAGAGATGTACGATAAAGATGTACGATAGAGATGTACGATANGATAGAGATGTACGATAAAGATGTACGATAGAGATGTACGATAAAGATGTACGATAGAGATGTACGATAAAGATGTACGATAGAGATGTACGATAGAGATGTACGATAGAGATAATCCATATATTTTTCGTTTTCAGAGTAATATAGTTCTCTTTAATATGTCCTTGACCTTCTTACTGGTGGGAAAAAATCCTTAAAATGGGCTAAATTCAAAAAAAGAAGGAAAAAAAGCGCTATTTCTCAATGATCGTTTAAAATTTCAACGATTTTATTGAAGTTTTTGATGAATCTCCATACATTTCCTTATAACATGACACCACAGAAACCAAGCTTGAGCTACCTGTGATTTTCTTTCGAGGAAAATAACGCCACCAAAAATGTATTTTGAAGACGAAGGTTCCAAATTTTGAGTTGTATCAGGGCCACAGGCATAACCCTATGGTGTCATGCAGGTGTTTGTGGTCGTAGTATCGATCATGACTATCTCTCGTTGGCCGGCCACAACGAGAACTCCCTCAAGAGCTATAATACACGTCCGTCGTCAAGACAGGTTCGGTTGTTTAGCGACGTGCTTTCCGATGATTTATGCATGAGTCAATTCCAAAGGTTCCCATCCCCCCCAACCCCCGGGCACACCCCGGGCATTTGGCCATAGTCAAGTCCCGTAGAGTGGGGAATTTGACGCTGAATGTATGTCCGAACGAGCGGGCATTTGACTTTTGACTAAATATAGCGGCCCTTTTTGGTTTCAAAATACAAACTTATACTTGTCGCTTGCATGAAAAACAGGCCTAGGGAAAGAAAAGCTCGGAATTAAAAAGAAAAAGAAGCAAAAACATTTCTATGTTGATGACAGTACAGAACGAGTAGATGAAGATAAGTTTTTGGAGGCCAAAACAATAATTATGTTTACGCTAATTCCAAAGTCGGCAAAGATTTCAAGTCTCGATTCTTATAAAATTAAAGCTATAAATTATAAAATGATCTCAAAAGGTACTTAGCATGAAACTTGTTGGATGTATACAG